GCATTTAACCACTGCGCCACCTTGGCTCTAAAACATATAAAGAATGGTTGCAGGAATGGAGTATGTCTTACTTAAGGAAAAGAAGGATTCGGGGTGACATGATAGCAGTTTTCCAATGTCTAAGTGGCTGCCACAAAGAAGTGGGTGGGGATCAACCAAGCCTTCAAAGCATCTGAAGGCAAACAAAAAGCAATGGATGGAAATTAACCAAGGAAAGATCCAAACTAGAACTAAGGAGAAATTTCCTGACACGTAGAACAATTGATCAGTGGCTTGCCTCCAGATTGTAGGTGCTCCATCACATTTTAAGAAGGAATTGGAGAACCATTTGTCTGAAATGGTATAGGGTTTCCTGCTGGAGCAGGGTGTTAGACTAGAAAACCTCCAAAATCCCTTCCAACTCTAGTTATTCTGTTAAAATCAGAGACTAAACCGAAGAAGGGAATTAGGGTCAAAGAACTGAAAATCTAAACACTATGCCAAACAGCAATACAGAGACAGTTCAGGAATGAAACAGTACTAGCACTTAGATTTATATACCGCTCCAGTCTCTGACTGGTTTACAATGTCAGCATATTGCCCTCCACAATTTGGCTACTCATTTTACCAATCTCAGAAGGATGGAATACTGAGTCAATCTTGAGCCAGTTAGGAACGAAATCCTGGCTGGGGGCAGAATCACACTCATTCTTATTCATCTATAATCCTTGCAAAATAGTGAGAACTGCCCTTAAATACATTTATATTTTCTTAATTCCTATTATACTACATGTGCAAGAAAAGCTGAACCTGAAAAATGTATGTTTATTTAGGCTCAGTTCTGCTATTGAAACTAAACCTGGTATGAATTTACTCAATTAAGTACAGTAGCAAAAACACACAAAAGAATAACATGGTAAAATAAATACCTAATACTTTTCAGTAACAAAGTATTTCCTATGTTAATTATTAACTAAATTCATGTTAAAAAGCTTGTTTTTCAGAAAATGCATTAAAGTTACATAAAATTACAACAGTGTCTTTCTGTTAGAAAGAGACAGGATGCTATTTTTGTAATTGGATGCAAAGTGCTGCTGGCATTGGAACAAAAATAAACAGAGTGAATTCTTCATTGGCCATATTTCTCACCAATGTAAAACATTCCAAAACTTCTGGGAATCTTCTATAATGTTAATTAACATGTCAGATTGAAGGTAATGCATATATATTTGAGTAGCTTCTCTGAAGCATGGAAAATTACTTGCACTTCTGTATTTAGTTTATGGAAAATGAACAAATGGACCAGTGGTGGGTTTCAAATTTTTTTTGAACCTACTCTGTGGGTGTGGCCTCCTTTGTGGGAGTGGCTTGCCGGCCATGTAACCTGGTGGGAGTGGCTTGCCGGCCATGTGTTTTCTCTCTCTCTCCTTCCTTTTGTCTC